TATAAGCCTTTTGTGTCAAAATGGATAAAAAAAAGAGATAAAATAATAATTTAAAAATCTCACTTATTTTGGTGTGGACTTAACACAATCTCTGGAGAAGGGAATGGCAACCCACTCCAGTTTTCTTGCCTGGAGAATTCCATGGACAGAGGAGCCTGGTGGGCTACCGTCCATGGGGTGGCAAAGAGTCGGACAAGACTGAGCGACTAATACTACTAATGCAATCCCACTTTTTTAGAACACAAGTGATAAAATTCATGGAGATTTTGTTCCAGGAGAAAAAAAAAAAAAAACGGAGCAGTTACTTTTGGCTGAAGCCTTCTAAATAGGTACTAGCTGCTGGACTCAGTCCCTCTGATCACTCCTTCTGCTAGACCCCAAAGAAAGTCCCAGGGTTTCCCAAGTGGAGCCAGTGCTAAAGAACCTGCCTGCTAATGCAGTAGACATAAGAGATACGGGTTCCATCCCCAGGCTGGGAAAATCCCCTGGAGGAGAGCACAGCAACCCACTCCAGTATTCTTGCCTGGATAATCCCATGGACAGAGGAGCCTGGCAGGCTACAGTCCATGGGATCACAAAGAGCCGGCCACTGAAGGGACTTAGCATGGCACAGCAAAGAGAAAGTCAGTGTAGAAGGCATAGTTGGTAAAATGTTGGTCACTGTCCATTATTAGTCTTCGGGTACCAACAATGTGGCCTCATTCATTTATTGGTGATGTTAAGTTGTTCTGACATTGCCCTCAAGACAGTCATGTCTTGTTCTTAGAGTGACAGAATAGACACTGAGAAAGGATTTGCACACGTTATTGAGTACCCTTGGCTTCACTGTGCGCAGGGTTCCAAATGTGAACTGTCTCTGCATACTTTATTACTCCCTGCGGTCAATTCCAGGAATCTGTGGATATTGCTCAGTGTAGCAGTTAATTTTCTTTAAAACTCATGACCATTTAAAATAATAACTTGTGTACAAGGAGCTATTCACAGCTGATAGCTAAAATAAACTGGCCATCAACTGTTACCTGGAACTGCTGTAGATTCTTAGGATGTCTTGAAAAAATATAAACTCTTAGAATATAATATTTTATCAAGCTCTTTACACAAAATCTAGCAAATCAGTCGAGAAAATAATTTGAAGCTTTCAATAAGTCTGCAGACACAAGGTGATGCTGTGAATAAGGTAAAGCGAGAGGAGTGAAAAAGAATACAAAAAGCCATGCTAAGCTACTTTTGTGTCTGTGCTTCAGGATGTCAGATGCTTACCTATGAGTATTTCTTGAAACTCTACACAAAGCAGAATAGACTGCCAGTAGAAATAAACAGTAGCTGCTGGTACACACACATGCATTATTTAGGTAGTTTTTATTTATTTATCCTGTTTGCTAAGAGTATGCAGATCAGATTGGACATTACACAGAAAAATGTTATCTGCAAAAATAACAAAAATACACAACAATATAATGCCATCAGTGTGTATCCTTTAACATTTTGCTTCTCTCCAAAATGCAATCTCTTTTCTTCTTTTTACTTTTTTACCCACCACTACCCTCTCATGCTCAAGTGAAGAAGCTTTGCTTCTCCCGAGATTTATCATTGCATGTTCCTCCTTGACTCTGTCCTTTCTTGTCTCCCCTGATCTTGCTCCCTGAATCCTGCACTTCCATTTCTCACTTTAAAAGATCCTCTTCCTCCTGCTGACAAATATCTTTCTATGATTCCCTTGTATAACATGTCTCTTACCCTTTCTGTTCCTGAAGTTCTTGTGCTTTTGCTCTGCTTTCATTTACAGCCACACTTCTGGACAAAGCTTCTCCATTGTTTGGAATATGATTAAATTAAAGTGGTTAGGCAAACAGAACAGGTATTACCCTTTGCTCTTCATTACTGTTTCCAAAGACAGCTAGGTAACTCTTCTATTCATCCTCACCAAAGGAGAATAGATTGTTTCAAGAGCAAAGAAATACACTTACAGAAACACTGCTTCATCTCTGCTCTGCACAAGTGCATGACTCATGTGTGAATTGACTCTGTCTGAGCCTTCTGGCAGATACTTGTTAAACAATATAATGCTAACAGCAGTATAATGTTCTAGAATCAGAGAAGACTGAGTTTAGAAGGCCATTCTTGAGAGATAGGATTGCTTAGTGGTGAACAGTACAGTCTCTGGAACCCAAAGTGGGTTGTTGAAGTCTGAATCCTGATTTCCCCACTTCCTAGCTCTGGAACCTTCTAGACTTTAATGATCCTTTCTGTAAAACAGGAATGATAATAGTACCTTCTCACAGATGTGCTGAGGAGGTGAAATGTGTTAGTTTTCGTGCTTAGAACAAAGGAGGGCAGGTCACAGTGCATTCTTTGTGAATTACATATAAATCTTCGTTCAAACAGCTCTGACCTAGGCAGATTGGACTTCATGTCCTAGCCCTGCCAGTCACTCATTTTATGCCCTTGGACAGTACTTAACCCCTCTCTGCTCTGTCTCTACAGGAGATTTAAAATAAGAGAACCTATGCAGAGAAGTGCTGTAGGGATTGAATATGCCAGTACATGTGAAATTACTTAATAGGACCCAGGAGATGGTTTAAGCGTTAGGAAATATTAACTCTTATTGCCGTCATTAAAAGTGATGTCTCAACCCTCCCAGTTTTGTCCATTAACACGATGCATATCTCTTCTAAACTTTTCCAGATATCTTGCCCTCCTTGTCTTGCTTCATTCTAGATATTGAAATTTCACGCCTGGCCAACACCACAACTGAACTCATAGAAAAATTACTTTTCATGATTCTCAGTTAATGAGTGCTTCTTAGGTTTTCCTCATTGCTGGGAATGGCACCACCGTCTTTCCTCAATCTTAATAAAAACGATGTTCCCGCTTTTTGTATTCATCTCTTGCACTCACAGTATTGAATTCCATTTAACTCTACATACAAAGCCTCATTTACCCTCAACTACTTCAGTGACTACTAGTTGCAGAAATCACTGGTTTCTGGGTTGACTATGAAAATGCGTTCCCTATTTCTTTCTCTGAATCCATTCTCACATATTCTAGTTTTGTCATTTTTACTAAATACGTCTAAAGTATTATTTTTCTCTTGAACAACTTTCACTTGCTGTGACATTATGTAGAGACGACTCAGCCTGACCTATAAAAACTTTGCACATGACAATCCCATCCAGCTTTTCCAGAAGTGGTTCTCCTACCCTCTTCAGTGTTGCCTATGCTCCTTGAATAGCCTCTTTCATTTTTTGGATCTAGTCTTTCTTCATCTGATAGCCTTCACTTTAAGCTTACTACCTCTTTTAGTCAAAATCTCCTCTGTATGAAAGAGCTCGTTTCAAGTTAGACTTTCTTTATAAAATAATTTTCTGATTACCCCTCCCGGTAAAACAAGTCATTCTCTAAAATTTCCCTGGCACATTTTGATACTTCTTTTATAATAATGACTCAAGTATTGAATATTTTATCCAAACCATCACTTGCCCAATGAGGGCACAAGTTATAAGATAAATGGGCCGTAGTGCCTTTCTCAGTTTGTTTGTTTGTTTGTTTTTTATTCTGAGCAATGAAAATCACATGAATTGATCCTCCTTCAGTAAATTCCGGTTACTCTTAAGCTACTTACACAGAGATTGTGTCTCTAGGGCAACTGCCCTAGGGCTTGCTGCTTATCTTGTGTCTCTGTTCTCCATCTGGTTAGCCTGAGTAGTTGACTTGTGACTCAGATCTTGCCACTTTCTATCACTTGTAGTTAGTTTACTCTGGGTCAGAATACTGATTTTTGGAAAGAGAATAAGATAAGGTTTTTATTCTATCCACATTTATTTCCCCGGGGGTAACAAATAGATCCAGAGAATAAGTGCTTTGGTTTTGTGTGCGCTACTATCTACAAAAATAATATATGTTTTTCTTGTACAAGGACCTTGCACCATTTTAATTTTGTAAACATCTTCCATAGAAATTAGCAGATTTTTACTGCACAATTAAATATGATCATTATTTGATTCACCTAAGAATTCTGATATTTTTAAAAATATTATGTTACTTTAAAATATAATTTAATCATTTATACCATTATTTTATTTATAACTGTTGATAGGACAGTTTAAGGCCACTTAATCCAATATTTAAGTGGGTTAAACCCTTATTTAAATATTTTTAAAAACTAATTAGGTTGAAACTTCAATAATTCATCATAAAAAATGCTAGTAGTTTTGTTTTCCCCCATTTTGTTCTTTTACATAGTAATATCTCTTCCCAAAGGTCACATTTCTGTCCTACTAGAGAAAATTTGCATACTAACCTATTTACCCCTTTTCTAACTATTTATGAATAGCTGTTATGCAAAATCTGAATAAATAATATAAAACTGACCCTCTTTCCAATCATTGTAAGTGCTAAAAAATGCATATAAATATGTAAAGATTATTTAATTATGTTGTATTAGAATAATCTCCTACTTAAAATTACTGCCACATTATTCCACTATGTATCTTTTAAGTAAACTGCACAAAAGACCATGCAGTATATGTAATGTACCTGAAGGGTCATTGTTTATGTCTGAGCTTTTGTTCAACTTTTAATGCCATGTCATTGTCTTTCCAGTCATCAGAAGTCAGCTAACAAAAGATGTGGACAGAGCATTTCCTCTTGATCTGCCATATGTGTATAAATTTATTTATCTAAAATTCCTTAAATTCCAAAAGCAATTGTGGTTTGGGGAGGTAGCTTTAGGAGTCAGAGGAGGACAGGCACGTTTGGGAGTATCCCTGCAGGTCCTGCTTGCTCCCACCAGACTGCTGGCCTGCTGACCACAGACCTGGCACAGCATCTGTTTCCTTCCCACTCTCTGGAGTCAGGCAAGTTGCTTTATTTGTTAGAAAGTTCTTGTTCATAGAGATACTTTATAGATTGAGACCTTCTATCTCTTAAAAACCCCTAAATATAGTATCTCCTCTTTGGAAAATAGGTCATGAATTGATAGATCTTTCTTTACTCTCTAGGAGAAGATTCTGAAGAGGTACCAGCTTCAAAGAAAGCTAAAGGTAAGATTGTTATCTTCAGTCCACTATGAGTTTTCTCATCTGTAAAACTTTTTCTATCTGTTTTATTTAACTATTCTGGTTCTCAGCTTTACCTAAGCAAAGTTTAGATGGTACACTTATCTGTAAATAGCTTTTGTACATTATTTGGAAAACATATAAGTATATATACATGTATATATATATAACATGCTATACATATATATTATACATCTTATAATTATATATCTCTGTATATATTTTAAGACTAATTGGACACTTGATTTATTTACAAGTAATTATTAAATAATTTGTAGGACAATCAGGTTATAAAAGAAATATTTCAAAATCATCATTTCACAAATGTTGTTTGACAGAAGGAGGACCACATAAATTTTCAAAATATGATATTGATATGTGTTTATTAAGAAAAATTGAGATAACTTGCCTATATTAGCAACAATAGCATAAAGAAAAGATGGAAGGAAGGAGGAAGAGAGAGAGGGAGGGAAGACAGACCTCAAACCTCAGAAAAATTTTCTACAACCGGATACATGACCTTAGGCGAGTATTTCCAGGACTAAATTTATTCATCTGTATTGTAAGGTTTTCAACTAATTTAATTTAATGCATTTTTTTCCTGAAGGGTTTCCTGGCTTCCTAGTTTGGCTTGTTATATGATAGATATTTTCTATTCTACTTTCAGACTTGCCTATGGACAATAAGAGTTTGCCTAAGAGGTGCTCTTGTCATCAAAATACAAGTTTTGTGGCAGTGTCTGGAATTAGTTAATAGTGTGGAAAACAGCACTTTAAGAAAAGACACAAGAAAATAGGTTGTTGATTCTTATGAGACAGTTTACACTTAAGATATTTTTGAATACTAAAATTTTGGGGTTTTTATAAAACAATCATTAAGAACAATAAATTTTTTTTAACTTCTTGAACATAACTTCTCAAACAACTTTATATACAAATCATTTGTAAATCTTTTTGAAATGAAATAAATTGATATTGGAGACCAATAACTGTGTTTATATCAGTTTCACAAGTAATGATAGAACTACTGGTTCATGGATCACACTTTGAGAAGGAAGTTTTTTTTAACTCATTTATAATTTGATGAAATCTAAAACCTACTTCAGATGAAATACACACACATTCATATCATAACATTTTATAGGTTTGTAAGAAAGTTTATCTGTGTATACCTGGGAAAAGGGGTTCAAATTGATAGTGTCAATTTATCCTTCATTAGATAAACATATCGGAGAAGGCAATGGCACCCCACTCCAGTACTCTAGCCTGGAAAATCCTGTGGATGGAGGAGCCTGGTAGGCTGCGGTCCATGGGGTCACTAAGAGTCTGACACGACTGAGTGACTTAACTTACACTTTTCACTTTCACTCATTGGAGAAGGAAATGGCAACCCACTCCAGTGTTCTTGCCTGGAGAATCCCAGAGACGGGGGAGCCTGGTGGGCTGATGTCTATGGGGTCACACAGAGTCGGACACGACTGAAGTGACTTAGCAGCAGCAGAAGCAGCAGATAAACACATGGTGCATATCACTTCAGCAAAAAAGTCCTTGAGTCACCTGAGAAAAGGAAAGGATACAGGATACCAGCTTGCTGCTATTCTTTCATTAGAAGGATGATCATTAAAACTCATGTCTCACACAAGTTTAAAATTATTTTGATTAAAACATTTGTTTCATAGCAAGATTCCATCCTTACTATAACTCTGAGCATCAAAAACCTCTTCAAAGAAAGGAATGAGTGTCAAGCCAGCTCTCCATTAACATCCAACACATCAGGACCAGTTTCTATGAGAACAATTGCCTGTAACATTTTCCATTCTTTTCTTTCATTGCCTTCTCTTCTATTGCTGGCTCTTAACCTACTAAAGTTTGTAGTTAAAGACTGAACAGAATCTTAATAAGAACCTAGAATTAATTGTAAGGAGGGCAAATAGCTCCTGTTTCTTTCATATTGTGCACCTTTTAAGACATTTTTCACTTCCTTACATATTTGTAAAATAACTATGAATGTACAAGGTAATTACTTTCATATTTTTGTATCCACTAGAAGAAGCTGAAGATGTATCTTCCACAAAGAAGCAGAAAAGTAAGTTAAAAAAACAAAATGACTAAAACCACTAAGGAATTCTGTAGCTGGTACATATAAACTGAAAGTTTAGATTCTCTTAAGAAAACCAGCATTAGAAGAAAAAGATTTTTAGCACATACATGAAGAATAACATTAAAGTAGGTCACTTATATTTCAAAGAGAAGTTCTGCACTTTTCATGTCAGTCAAGAGGCACATATTTGGAGGAATTACACAGTAATGACTGAAGTGGCATTTATTGCAAACCATTCTACACAGCTCTGATCCTGAGCACTCTAACTGAACTGTCTGCTTTATGAAAAGATATCTGACGTGATATGCTGAAATTTTTTACCTCAAAAAGAAAAAAAAAATGTAGAAATAGATCTCAGCAATTCAATTGCTTAGAAACTCACTTCTAAGATTCAAAGTTCCTTTTAATTTTTCTTGATATATGGCAGGCTGTTAATATTCAATCTTTGGGATCGTTGATTTTATGATGTAATCAATATTCATATGCAGTTACAAAATTCAATGTCCTGTTTTCTTATTATTCCAGCACTTCCAAATTAGACATATTTTCTTCAGGTGGTAAAGCAATACATCTTGAATTCACATATGCATAAAAATCATTGCTGCACAGACTAAAGGAAGCAATTTTTTAAATAAGCATAACTAAAGTTTGCTTCACATAAGGCTTTTGAAATAAAAATAGACATTTATCTGAGGAAATAATGTCAATAATGTTCTCTGAGTTCCATAATCTTTCTTAAATGTATTTCTGAAGGAAATTACAAAAATGACCTCTATAATAGAAAATACTTTCTGTTATATTAATATATGTGAATCACTGAAAAAATATCTAGAGCCTACTATGTTTTAAGCACTATTTAGATGCAGCTACTGCAACAGATGAGAGATAACAAATTATAACCCTTCATATAATCAGGTTGTATGAAATAAGGAATAAATAAGTAGTCTTAATACTTTCGGAAATGGTTGCAAAATCCATAAAGTCAATCTAAACATGTTTTTGATTTATATAGCAACGCTTTCCCACTTGTTCACCTACTTGTAACAATTTGTGGCTATATCACATAATACTCAAAATCTCATATTTCATAATAGATATTAATAAGATAGGTGGATTATATTGATGTCAGTTTCCTGGTTGGGATGTTATAGTATCGTTCATTTTGCAAAGATGTTGCCATTGGTCAACGCTAGGTGACAGATACATGGGCTCTCTGCATCATTTCTTACAACTTCACGTGACTCTTCAGTGATCTCAAAATAAAACTTTTAATTACAAAGAGGTAAATAAAATAATTTCATTTTTTTAGTAAAAAACACAAGTGTCAAATATGTTCAGTTCACTTGGGGGATTTACCGTAGCAAAACAATATTTTCATCTTTCCATGAAGCAGTTCTATAGTTTGACATTCATGAGCCGTTTATATAACATCTAGAATGTGCAGCTACAATGATATTTTCACTCACAACCATTTGGCATCGGTGAAATCAATGTCAGAACAGTGCCTGTGAACGAGAAGGCTCAGGGGAAGGTAGCCTGCTGTCTCTCCCGCTTTGAGTATTTGTGCTGCTTCCCTCCTTCATGCAGGCCCAGCTTTACTGCCTGCCTTCCCTGCAGCCTGTCCAGCCCCTAACCCTAGACTCTCGCAACCTCGGCGAGGGTGCAGGCGCCAGGGTTGTGTTACTGCCCTTCTTTGAGGCTAAAACAAAATAGAAAACAATTCTGGATAAGATAAAGAGGAAAGAAGAACTAAATTCACGATTTCTCCAAAGCATTTTCATGAGTGAAAAAACTCAGTGATTAAAGTCAGCTGACATCATGGGTGATGAAATCAGAATAATCCCTTGTCGTCTCCCTTAGCTTCTTTCTACCCACGCTTTGCTCTATTCTACTTCCTAAGCCCTTAGACTCATGTAGATTTAACTAGCTTCCCCCGCCCTATATTCCACATACTGCAAGCTGCAATTATCATTCTTTTTCCTGGCCAGCTGCAGGAAGTCTGTGGTTGGTTGACAGAATGCTGGCTGTTGCCAAGACTGTGGAACCCATGCCCATGTGCATTGAATTAGACTGCCTCGCAATGCTTTACCTCTGTTCCTAATCACATTCTAGCTGTTTTTTAATAAATCATCATGCTCTCCTTCTCAGCCCCCATCAGCTTCTTCCAATGTGTCTACTTGGATGGATACAATGGCTATGGATTTCAGTTTCCCGTCACTCCTGGGCACTACCCTGGGGAGAGCGCCGGCCAACCAAGTTCTCCAGGACAGAAGCAACAGCGACAGTGAGACCCATGTGCACAGCCCTTGCAAATCGCTTTAGAACTCTGAAAATAGCATCTTTTGTTTGTCTACAATGACACAGGCAATTGAAATCATGTAGTCCAGGGGATTTGTTTGAAAATAGTTTACTCTTCTGCCTGGTGTAGAAAGGGTGAGCAAAGGGACTGAATGATAAGCAGGCAAGTTGGAGGGTCTGGCGCTCAAGAATCTGTCATTTGTTTGTTGCTGGGTGTGGGTGCTTATATTTTTCTATTTCCAGTCACTTCAAGGTTGTTCACAAGCTAATTTAAATTTTGCTTAATAATGATCTTTTAAACATAATTGACACAATTACAAAATGAAATTTCTGGCTTCAGTTAGATATTTACTTTTAAGTGAAAACACAGACTGTAAGTTTAAAGGCTTTAGGAGCTTATACAAAAGCTGCTCTTTTGCATCATGTAGGTATCTAAACTCAATTTACCCAATATGTTGATATTCAATAGTTTAATTTTATTTCTGTATATATATATACATATATATATATATTTTAGTTGTGACTCTTCTCTAAAAATGGGTAACAGTTTCACCAAAGAATGTTATAAGTTCCTTGTGATGCTCTTTTGGAGCTCAAAATATCTCTGAACTTTAGACATAATAAGATGGAGTGGAAAGGCTTGATGAATCTTATCCCTAAGATTTGTCTTGAATTACAATTAGGAAATTCACTCCAGTGGAAATAGGCCATCCAATTAGGCAAGTCTGGTGAATCATTTGCTTAAATATAAGCAAATGAGATGTAGACTAGCCAGATTTCTCCAGACTGTGTGCCCGAGTAAAATGTCACCTGGGTGAAATTTTAAATCAGTCACCAAATTTGGGTGACAGATGCAAGAGGATTTTCATTTCACTTTAATAGGATCATTCTATTGAGTTAAATAGGTTTATTGCTCAAAACAACAACAAAAAAATATGAATGTCATCGAAGTTGAAGGAACACATTTTAACCATTAAGTTCACCATGAGATATCTTACTTGTTTTTTAGGTAATTAGTTACCAGTGCTAATGAAATGAATAACAATCTTTAACTTATTTGATGATGCATCACTGGGGAAAACAACTCTACTTTTGCCACCCTTTGTCTCTTGGTGATATAAACACTTATGCTTTTTAACTACATTTTTCTATCAACAGTAAAAGTCATGCCAGGGAATTCCCTAGCAGTTACAGTGGTTAGGATTCCACACTTCCACTCCTGGGAGCACAGATTTGATCCCTGGTTAGGGAACTAAGATCCTGCATGTCACGTGGTACAGTCTAAATAAATAAATGAATAAATGTCATGCCACTGTGACCCTTATTATGTTTACAGTAGCAATTTAACTTATGACACATTAACTCAGGAAGTAAACTGAATTACTCTTTCTGGCTTTTTAATCATCTTCAGCAAAGTCTGAAGGAGCCAGAGCCAATACTAGCCAAGTGATTTATGTTTAAGGACTGCAAATAAGTTCTTTAGGTCCAAGATGTAGAACACTGTTTCACTGGAATATCATTAGGCTAGGGCATCAGTAACATGTTAATTACTAATAACGAATTTTCAGTGACTTTTGTGAAAAGTTAGCCTTGGCCACAGGCTGGTGGACCTAACTTACACCACGAAAGCCAATAATATGATGAACCAAGATTAATGCCAGTCCATGTGGAAGGCTTCCTGGAATTGTGTAACTTCAGTACCAATCAGATAGTACCATTTATAAAGCCTCTTCTTGTAACAGTGAAAACTTGTGGGTAGGACAGTGGATGAAGTTTATTGCTCAATTACTTCTCCAGCTTGTCCAATTTAATGACTAAAGGAATAGAGAGAAAGTATGATGGTTTTCTCAGTTTCATAGAAAAGAATGGTTTATCTTTTCATTCAATGACTGTTGAGCATTTACTCTTTCTAAAGGCACTGTGTCAGGCACTGGGCCGTATAAGAAAAATACCAGAGATAATTCTGTTCCCAGTGCTATCCTGACACAATATGTGGCCTTAGAAAATTTGCTAAACATACTGGGCTTATTTTTCCCGTGTGTAAAATAAGGATTTCTGGACAAACAACCTTATACCTCACAGATGTACCGTGGAGACTGACAAAATATCTTCACATGGACATGATAAAAAAATGTCTAAAATGACGCTTTTGAATGTGGCACTACTTGTTCCTCTGAGTGCTTTTCTATATTATATCATGGTCTCTTTCGTTCTCATTATGAAAAATATTTGATGAAAAATAAAATATGACAGCTCCTTGTAATTAGACAAATCAATTATGCTGTAAACAATATTAACAATGTTGTTACGGTGTATCTGCTTAAAGTTACAATGAAATAACACATGAAAATTGTTAACTAAACTCTCATTTGTTCATACAGTTCCAGCAAATAAAGTATTTCTAGTCCTTTCATGTTTGTGCTTTACATTTTAAAATGAAAAGATAAATGGTTGGTTTAAAAGTTGTTGTCTTTAGTAGTTCACTCCTAGTTCATGTCATGTTGGTTATGAATGTGTAAGTAATTAATAATTGTTTTGGTTCTTAATTTTGTCTGATTGGTATGGGCTATTCATTCCAATTTTTTACTCTCACCTACACTTTACCTTCTCTTAATAGATGAAGATCTATAGAAGATAAATAATTATTTAAGGTTTTAAATTTATGTTTAGTTTTCATAAAGCCTGACAGTGGGGCCAGGCTTTTTTGAAGTAATTCACATGAAAAGCACAGGTGTATTATTTCCTTCTGGTACATCCCTGTCAAAACTCTTCATGGGAATATTTTGGAAACTAGAACTGTATGTTGAGGGACTCAGATTATTTCTTTGAGTTATTTTGCTGGAAAAAGCAAAGAGAATAACCAATATTGTTGCTGATAGAAAATTCAAGGACAACCTAGCCCAGTTGGCAATACAGAAAAAGAACCTAATCCTTATAGAAATGCATAAAAATTGCCCAAAGTAGCCAATTGCATCAAAGCTAGGCCTAGAACATTAGTCAGCTAGCTCCCAAATGCCTTTAACTTTGTCCTCAGGATACAGTTACAAATCTTAGCTAGTTTAATCCAGCATCTCAAAATTTATTTTTTAATTGTAACCAGTGTTAGAAATGTAATCCTATGTGGAAAGACTTGCTTTTTTTCTACGTGAGAACCTAAAGGGACTTTAAGAGTTTCATTCATTTGCTTTAGAGAGAAAGGAATTGAATCTCAGAGATGTTAGGTGACATGCCAAAGGGTCACATTGCTAACTAGTAATAGAAGTAGCCTGAGAACTGGGATCTTCTGTTTTCTAATCCACCGCATATAACCCACCCTGTGTGACTACATGTTGAAGTCTCCACCATCAAAAACTACCTCTGTCATTTACATACTCATTAAGATGTAGAAACTCAGCCCAACTTTGTAGAAACGGGCTTCCTGACAACACTCTTTGCCCTTCTCCTTTCAGGCCAATACTACAGCTACCTTGTACCTGCTCCCCTCATTAATTATGAAGTGAAGTGAGCTCAGTTGTGTCTGACTCTTTGCAATCCCATGGAATTCTGCAGGCCAGAATACTGGAGTGGGTAGCCTATCCTTTCTCCAGGAGATCTTCCCAACCCAAGAATTGAACCGGGGTCTCCTGCATTGCAGGCAGATTCCTTACCAACTGAACTGTCAGGGAAACCCTCATTAATCATACATGTTGACAAAACATTTAGAAATTACTGTGAATGCTTTCCTTTGTGTATAAAAATAGTTTTATTTTTCCACACTATTTAACTGTAAAAAAGTCATAAGTCACTGAAATACCCCAAATCTTTGCTCCAAATAAGAAAAAAAAACCTCTCTTTAATCTCAACACAACCAAAGATGTAGGTTAACAAAATAAGTAAGGAAAACAGATGCTTACAAAAACACATTTAGACTGTAAAGAAAAGCTCAAATTAAATGATGAATTAGTGCATATTAATAAATAAGTCATACAAATTTCAGAAGAAGTGCATGTTAATAAAGTAATAATAGCAATATATACAGGTTTATATATTTAATATTATATATATTATATATCCCAAACACCTTCAGTTCAGTTCAGTTCAGTTGCTCAGTTGTGTCTACTCTTTGCGACCCCATGAACTGCAGCACACCAGGCCTCCCTGTCCATCACCAACTCCCAGAGTTTACTCAAACCCATGTCCATTGAGTCTGTGATGCCATCCAGCCATCTTATCCTCTGTCATCCCTTCTCCTCCTGCCCTCAATATTTCCCAGCATCAGGGTCTTTTCCAATGAGTCAGCTCTTCGCATCAGGTGGCCAAAATATTGGAGCCTCAGCTTCAACATCAGTCCTTCCAATGAACACCCAGGACTGATCTCCTCCTTAAGGTGGACTGGTTGGATCTCCTTGCAGTCCAAGGGACTCTCAAGAGTTTTTTCCAACACCACAGCTCAAAAGCATTAATTCTTCAGCTCTCAGCTTTCTTTATAGCCCATAATATTCTAAATAAGTGACAGCAGAATATCCTTCAAATCATTGAATCAGAACCCATAGAGCTTGTAAGATATCTGTGGAAAAGGAGTGCCTTGAATAGAAAACTGAGATAGAACACCAGTTGACCCATCGACCCAGACACTGCTGCAGCATCAAACATTTGTTAGAATATCTGAAGGTGTTACAGCAATGTAACTTAGTGAAGGCATTGTCAAAGTAAATATTATTGCATCTTAAAACAATTGATATATGTCTATGCTTAGGAAGAACTCTCTCTCCCTCTCATATTCAGAATTCAATGACAAATCATTTGTATATATTTGATGCCATCATGGACAGAATTGAGATTATTTGAATTAAGTTGTATTCTTTAAAAAGGAGGCAATGTTTCATAGAAAAACAAGACAACTCTCAATTCTACCAATTTTAAGAACAAATATAGTAAATAATTCAAGTATTTTCATCTTTGGAACATCTATGCACGAAAAACTGTTTTTTCAAACTGGGAATATATTAATGTTGTTCGAATTAAAAATGACACTTTATAAAGATGTACATAGGAAGTGTCCTCTCATCCCATTCTTCTTGCTTCATTTTCCTATCCACTTCTTTACTTCCCATAGCTAACTACATTGATGGATTCTTGTGTGTCCTTCCTACGAAAATACAAATGTAAACTAATCTATGTTCTCATTTTGATATTTTTCTTACATAAACATTATATATCATAAACGTTGTTTCATACTTTCATTTATTTATCACATGTGTCTTGAATTATTTGTTTAAACGAGTGCATACAGAGCTTACTTATTAGTACAGACAGATATAGACAGGTAAATGTGTTTTATGCACACATCCCGAGTGGAGAGCTAGAAGCCTCTATAAAACTATGTTAGGTCAAGATACAGAATATTAATAGCACTAAAAAGCCTCTTTCATATTTCATCTAGTTAATATCTCTCTGGACTTGGTTGTGTACAACTCTTTGTGATCCCATGGAATGTAGCCACCAGGCTCCTTTGTCCATGGAATTTTGCAGGCAAGAATACTGGAGTGGGGTGCCATTTCCTTCTCCAGAGGATCTTCCCAAAACAGGGATCGAACCAACATCTCTTGTGTCTCCTGCATTGGCAGGTGGGTTCTTAGTCACTAGTGCCACCTGGGAAGCAAATATCCCCTGGATAACCACTAGTCTGACTTTATCATCAAAGACATGTCTTCACTGTTGTGACACTCATATAAATGAAATTATAAATTAGGTATCTTTATGTCATTATATAGATAAGACACACTCAAATTGTTATTGTTTACATTCTAAAGAAGTAGTTTACCCTTTTTCATTGTCTTATAGCTTTCACGTATATATGCATTCTATTGTGGGTGGTAATTTGGACATCTCTAGTTTTTATATAAAAAGCAGCACTTCTATAAATATTGTTAGTTTCTTATACTGCATAAATGTATGCATGGATGGGTGGGAGGTTTATAACTCAGAGGTGAATTGTTGGCTAATACAGAAGGCTTCCCTGGTGGCTCAGATGGGAAAGAATCTGCCTGCAATGCAGGAGACCTGGGTTCAATCCCTGAGTCGGGAAGATCCCCTGGAGGGCATGACAACCCACTCCAGTATTCTTGCCTGGAGAATCCCATGGACAGAAGAGCCTGGGAAGCTATAGTCCATGGGGTCACAAAGAGTCAGACACAACTGAGCGACTATCATACACACGGTAGGTGAATCTACATTTTTGGTAGATAATTCCAAACAGTTTTCTAACTGGTAACAATTTGCCGTCCAGCAACAGAGTACAAAAGTTCTAGCTTCTCCAAATCCTTGCTTATACTTGCTATTGTCATTTTGTTAATCTTAACTTCTAGGGGCTATGTTGTCATACATCATTACTCTCATACTTTGGATTTCTCTGATGACCAGTGAAGTTGAGAACTTTTAATATATTTACTGATCATTTGGAAATCCTCTTTTATGTAAAACTTGCTTAAACTTTGTGGACTTTTGTAAAAGAGATTTTCTCTCTGTCTTTTTTTTTAAGAAATACCTTTGGCTTCACATAGATATATTTTTGTATTTCATATTTTCTTTGTTTCCAAGTTTTGCTGAGCATAGAAGAGTTAGGATCTTTTCAGTTTGTTCATTTGTGTTGTCCTCTTTGTTGTTCCATGTCGTTTACAAGAAGTGTCTGACTCTTTGTGACCCCATGGAGTATACAGTCCATGGAATTCTCCAGGCCAGAATACTGGAGTGGGTAGCCTTTCCCTTCTTCAGGGGATCTTTCCAACCCAGGGATCGAACCCAGGTCTCCCGCATTGCAGGTGGATTCTTTACCAGCTGAGCCACAAGAGAAGCCCAAGAACACTGGAGTGGGTAGCCTGTCCCTTCTCCAGCCGATCTTCCCAACCCAGGAATGGAACTGGGATCTCCTGGATTGCAGGCCTATTCTTTACCAACTGAGCTATCAGGGAAGCCCTGATACAATGCATAGACTATTGTAATTATAATCATTTGTTTCTTTTCAAACTAAGTTTCTTTTGGCATGGATGAGGAAGTTATGCAAACTGTTTTGAGAAATGAAGAAATTTTCATTTGTAACTGTTATTTTCTATAATTCTGAGGATGGTTAAACAAAGGTTTTCCAGTTAGTCATTTTGGATGAAATTTGGTGCTTACATTTCAGATCTCTGGAAATAATGTTAACTTTTAATCTCATTATGAGTCATAAAAATATTTTAAAGAAATCAAAAAGTCATGATTCATATTAACACCCTCAGCTTTACAACTGTACCTTTGATGTAAAGCAGTCTTTACTTCTTAGTTCAAAGGAGTCTTTGCTTGAAATCGATGATAAATCCCATTCACATTCCATTTTATTCAGTTCCTTTAGAGCTTATAACCCTTTGTCCAGTAAGAAGAAAACTTATTTTATGT